AATTTGCGATCAGCAACTAATCCCGCCCTTGTTAAGTGATCACATCACTCACTGTATGAGTGATGCAGGCACTTACACAACATCGCGCATAGCAGTGTGAACTCGTTAAGTCACACGTTTAATCGGGCATCTGCAACAGGCCCGCGAACGCATGCTGTTGTAAATGGCTGGCAGCCTACTTCGGCAGAGCTACTGCAGGCGCCCAGCTAGCGCTGTATGATTACTACCTACGAAAACAGTACACTCACCGTTAACAGGCCCACGTTGTCCGTGTCCGCCACTCCATGAATATTCCTTAATCCAAGCGTCACTTCGAACACGGTGTCATGCGTGACCACCATTGAATATCCGCCTGTTCGCTAGAACACACACAGCGACCAAGACCCCAGACCAACGCAACGCATTTGAAAGACGATGAGACAGAGAGAGCGACGTTGAGAGAGAGAAGGAGGAGGCACTGGCGGCGGCGCGCAGCTGTCGACGCAGGTGTTCGGTGACGCAACTATTCGCTTATCTACGCCGCCGTTGTGGGAGCAACGCTGGCCGGGGTGAGCGGGGGGGGGGTGAAGGAGCGGGAAACCCGCCAGGACGGCGCCGAAAGGCAAACGCTACGGCGCATACGGCGGAAGGCCGTTCGACACGGAATGACTCTTTGTAAATGGCAACTCTTCTTCTAGCCAGTCGCACAGCGACGCAGGTTATTTACCAGCCTCGGGTTCTTTGAGTATTTTGACGGAATGCGATTGCAGTGGGCGAAAAATAGTGAAGCAAAACTTGCGGAAAACAAAGTGCACCATGGAATGGCCGGAAACAATAATTATTTCGTCCTCGGTGGCATTAGCGGGAGAGCATCGCTACACCTTTTCCAGAGGAATTTCTTTTCGCATTGTCTGTGTCTGGCACTTCCGCGTATGGTGCCGCAAACACTGAATGCGTAGTCGAAGCTGGAACAAATTAATCCACAGTCGTGGATGTTTAGAAGGCTTGTCACGCACCACGAAACGTGCCGAGGCTGTTATAACAGACTTTTTGCTGACCACATGATCACTACATAATTCCATATGGTTGCCCAATGAGCTAGCTAAGCACCTGTAGCAAAGGCAGGGCACGTTTTTGTTAAACGTTGTTAATATAAACGATGGTTGTGCATAAGTGCAGTGACAGCTTTCCGTGTAAATTGGTCATAACCCACGTTTTCGAGCGTAGAAGCACCTCAGCGGACCTAATCAGCTACCACAGCAAGTTCGTAAGCAACGATCAGGTACGAAAATGTGCAGCTGTTTTCCATGTACTGAATAGTCCGTGTACAGTGCGTTGACCACCGCCATTTCTTAAGCCACCTCCCATATAGACTCCCAGTCTGAACAGGTGTGGGACCTTAAACACTAAGAAGCAGTGCCCCCCCCCCCGCACACACACACACACACGAAATTCGAGGGCGCACGGGCTGATACACACGCATACTTATTCACAGGCGCACACACATACACGTATACACACATACGGCCACATACACACGCGACCGTAAACGCACGCATGCATGGGCGTACACATGTGCACAGGCACGCTTAACACAAGCACGGACTCGCACGTACACGCGCAAGCACACATGCACGGGTGTACACACAATCGCGCTTACACGCCAACACATGCGCAGGCACAAGCACACACACCCATACTCGGGCGAACATTATTTGTGTGTATATAATCCGTAGCAAACATGCAGCTTATAACCAACGCTAAGGAAAGCTTTCGTAACATGGATTGCAGTTAATTGCCATTATAGATGAAACGCGATTTGCTTCTGCTGACATTCTGCTGTATTCGGAGAGCACCTTCACACATTATAAGTCAATTAGGCCGTCATTTAACGCAAGGTCCACATATTCGTGCAGTAGCTGCGCAGCTCGGCCGCCAATCTGAAGGTCGCGGGTTCGATGCCGGCCGTGGCAGTCGAATTAAGGCGGAGGCGAAAAGGTAGAAGCCTTTGCACTGTGCGATATGAGCGCTCATTAAAGAACACCAAATGGTGAAAATCTCTGCAGCTTTCCACTACGACGACCCTCATAATCATATCGAGGTTTTTGAGACGTAAAATCCCAAATATTATAATTGTGTTTTCTTATGCTGCATATTCAATCTGATGAATCGGCACCTACACCCTTCTCAGGCACAAAAGCACCCTTAGAGCCTATTTTAGGGTGCTTTCGAGGCAAACACCCAAACAAAGGGGTGCTTTTTTTTCAATCGACCATTTATGGGTGTTAAAGGGTGTTGCAAAGGGTGCTTTCTCGTAAAAGCACCCTTTGCACCCTTTTGGGTGCAAAAATTTTTACTGTGTATACGTTTCTCATCGAAGTACGACAGCCTTCTGACGACCTTCTTTCGTGTACAGAGTCGAATTTTGAGCGCAGCCTAATATACACTGGGGTATTTAGAATTAGGTATTCCTGTATATTATAGTAAAGGAATACACCACCTAATACTGACGTGTTGATGTTGCTCCTCATATATGCGTAATATCTGCCTTTTGGTCGACAACGTTCAAAATTATGAGCGCCGCCACCAGTTCAAGATGGCTGGACAAAAGCTTGACCTTTGGCCAAATGGCTAAAATTGTGGTACAGACAGAAAAAAAAGAAAGGAAGAAAAGAAGACGAAGAAAAGAAAGACCAAAATATCTGTCTTCATAAATGCCAATAAAGGCTATCGTCCTAAATTAATTACTGATGACCGCCCCGCCGCGGTGGTCTAGTGGCTAAGGTACTCGGCTGCCGACCCGCGGGTCGCGGGATCGAATCCCGGCTGCGGCGGCTGCATTTCCGATGGAGGCGGAAATGTTGTAGACCCGTGTGCTCAGATTTTGGTGCACGTTAAAGAACCCCAGGTGGTCGAAATTTCCGGAGCCCTCCACTACGGCGTCTTTCATAATCATATGGTGGTTTTGGAACGTTAAACCCCACAAATCAATCGTCAATCAATAATCACTGATGACCGCGATACTACCTAATGTATAATCTGAGCCCAGCTTTGCTCGGGGACAAGGTCAACGGTGTTTTAAGTTAAGGCTTCCCGCAAAGTAACCATTCCGCCGTTAAAAGGACTCCGTGTTTTCGGAGTTGACTTACTGTTAAACTTGGAAGGGGTTTTTCAGGATTTATTTTTGGGAAGAAATTTCGTGTCTGTCGGATTTTATTTCTCATGAAACCCTTATTCTCCTAAATTTTTTGTTCACTTTTATATTGTGAGTTATGGCAGTGTCATCTTCTTAATAATTATGTTTAAATAAATTGCGTTGCGTTGTTCACGGTAATCCTGCTTCTTATTCTCTTCATTCTTTTCTCGCTTGTTTATTTGCCTGTTGATAAGGCTAATCATATGCATGCTGTATAATCACCAAAGACTAATTTTGAGTTGATTGGTTGGTTGGGCCTAAGAGGAGTGGCTTAACCCACCAAGAGGGATCTGCCATTGATCGCGCGGCAGTGGGATTTTGGGGGAAAAAAGGGATGCCTAAAAAGGCTTTTTTTTCGGGGAAGGGGGGGGGGCAGGAACAATACAAGATGCTCTTCAATTTTTCGTGCCAGTCTCTTGCATTTTTGATGAAAATAAAGAACCAATTGTTATTACTACTCTTAATATCTTAAAGTTGTAGATTAAAATATATGTCACGACAAAAGTATGCGAGCCCAGTAAGTGAATTGTAGTTGTGCGCAAAATTTGACGGCACAAACATTCTGCACACAGGCCCAAATACCTCAATACAAGACTCCTACATCTGTTCGTATTACAACCTTAAAGGTGGTTGTAATAGGCTCAAACATGTTTTACGAAATTACAGCCGCTGATTGAGGTGCGCCGATTTCACTTGATGATTCTCAGCTTTGATAATGTGTTTTCTACTTCGAAAATGTTGTTTAAAAATCATACTTTATATGATAAATTCGAACTGCCGAAAATTTTGCCGGCGAGTGTTCGTCAGACTTTATCAGAGTTTTCAGAACTAGGACAGCATCTACTACGTCATTGTTCATTTTTCTTGAGACAAGCGAGGTGCCCCCTATCATAGGCATTCGAATGGGGGTGAGATTGACGGCCATCTCTTTCAACCACCTAGGAGGGGGTGGGGGGTGGGCGCAAGTCTACTTCATATCATGGCCGAGCTACACGCGCACGCCTCCAACGGACCTCCTCGGTTAGACCAGTGAAGGCAATGGCAGTGCAAAAGGCAGTCGATAGTGACAGAAGATAAAAGAAGTTTTGCTATTTTTTTAACTTTATTTGATTGCGTTACTTTCCTCCTTTCACAAGCACGTAAGTTTTGACATGCTTGCAGGAAGTTCAGCAGTGCAACCATGAAAAATGTTAATTACACAGTCATGGTCTATGTGTGAACTAATACATAGTACTGTTAATAACGATGAAAGACCATGGCAGGACCACCATGCGCAAGAGTGGCGTATATGGGCTTCAAAATTAAGTGTTGCCCCTGTACTGCTAGAAACGTAAACAGTCTTAGCTGCTATTCAATACATCTTAACCAAACATAATAAAAGACTGCTTTATAGTGCAAACTTCGGGGACGAAGGACAATAAAATACGACACACACGCTAACTTAAACTGATTTTTGTTTAAGAAACAAGTGAAATATATAGGCAGCCTGCATATTTCATACCTTTATTAAAGTTCAGTTCGAAATTATTGTTTTTGTGTGTTTCTTCCTATTGTCCCTCGTCCTTGATGTTCGCGCTGTATAGCAGTTCAATGAACTACCAACAAGCCCAAACAAGCACATTGCTGTTGTAAAGAAAGGCCAAGGTAAAAGACACACTTCATAAGAAACTCCGCTCTTCTTACGTACTGCGAATCAGCAGAGGTGCGTCTTTCATTTCAAACGCATTTCAACGCAATACATAGGCTTGAAGCTATCAAAAGGATCGTCCGTAAGAAAGTACACGAAAAGAAAAACTACATTCTAATATGAGCTGAGTGTTCAACGTCAATGTCCGGCAAGCCGATTACAGGTGTAGGGGCCATATTCCTGCAAGGACGCGTAAGTCTTTTTATCGGCCCTGATGCAGGAATGGTGCGATCGCAACGGCGCCTTGGGCAGCGGTACCAGCGAGTCCTGCAGCATGTGTCTCAGCTCCTCGCCGGTCGCTTCGCTCACAGCGCTCCTGGCGGACACGAGAGAGGCGCGTCGCTTCCAGTCCGACTCCGTGGGCAGGAACTGCGTGGCCACCGCGAACATCGTCATCAAGATGGACGCGATGGCAAGGTGTGCCTCGGCGCGCAATCCGTGGAAGATTCTGGGCACCATCTGCGCCATGGTGTCGCCGAGACGGCTAAAGGCCAGACCGGCGCCCAGACTCGTACAGTGGATGCCCACGGAGTAGCAGTTGGCAGCCAGGGGGATGAAAAACATGAGCGTCACGTTTCCCGCCATTCTTATGAGCAGCAACAGCACGTTTCGCAGGATGGTTTCTTCGTCCGTGTAGACGGCGGACAACGTGGTCGACATGACGGCGAATACGAGCGCTGACGAGACCACCAGGCGCTTGAAGCCGAAGCGCGGAACGCATCGTGCCACCAAGACGGCAGCCCCGGTGGTCAGGAACATGTCGATGACGACTACTACCACGCTGACGAATATTTCATCGCTGAAGATGAAGCTCACGTAGCAGTAGGCCAGCGCGGTCCAGCAGAACATCACCAGTGTCGTGCGCATACGGAGTCGCTTGTAGCAGAGGAGCCAGGTGGCACCGAAGTCGTCGCGGATCTTCTCTTCGCGTTCCTGCAGGTAATGTTGCGCGCCGGTGAGGTCGCATCTTCCACCCGGCAGCCCGTTCATCTTGGCCGCTCGCGACGCGATGCGCTCAGCCTCCTCGACTCTCCCGCGGACCAGGAGCCAGGCGGGCGACTCCTCTATGGTGTAGTACAGGACCACCAGGAGGCAGGTCGGAAGCATGACCACGAGATGGGTGGCGGCCCAACCGCCCTTGACGGCCTGCGCAGCCGCTAGCGTCGGGGGAACCATGATGATGGTGATGGCCCAGGTTGCGACGGTGCACGCAGGTATAGTGCTCATGGGTGACACCTCGTACATGAGCGCCAGCAGCGGAGGCAGCAGGGCGCTCGCGGCTGCCGAGATCACGCATCGCACGGCCACGAAGAAGTGCAGGTCCTTGGGCAGGCTGCCTCCGACTCCGGCCACGAGGACCACGGGCACGGCGACGAAAACGATGATCCGGCGACCGACGTGATCGGCTGCCACTCCGAACACGACGAGAGACACGATGCAGGCGGCCGAATAGGCGAGCCGGGCCAGGTCCACGATCCAGCGGCGATCGCACACCAGGTCCCACTCGCTGACGATGTTGTTGCCGTACGTGCTGAGGTCATACTCCCATGACTTGCAGGGCACCACGCGGGAGAGGAGGCCTCCATCGGGCGGATCGCGGACGACGCAGTGGCTGTGCACCCCGTCCTCGTTGAGCGGGATGGCCATCTCCTTCCACTCGCTGACGCTGAGGTTGACGAACTCGGCCGGTCGTCGGCACCAGTGGTCCATGACGCCCGCGGTCAGTCGGAAGCTCTCGTCGTGCAGCGTGAACGTGGCGCCGGCTACGATCGTGCCGAACATGATGAACAGCTGGAAGCTGCCGAAGCCGTAGGGCAGCCGGACGTCGTCTTCGGAAGGTGCCTGAGCGCTCCGTCTCGATATGCCCGAGGTGGTAATCTGGGCGCTGTGCAAGGCGGTCGCGCCCACGGGAGCCATTCTTCTTCTTCTTCTGCTTCTTCATTCTTTCTCTGCACGTGTATTCATATGGTGCTCAGTCACCACCAATTGTTTCTTCTCAACCTGTCAAAGTGAAAATATTATTTGAATTCCCCAATCTGGCGATGATTCGCAATATTATGCATCAATAGAATAAATTTTATTTTTTTATTTATAACATACTGCAGACCAGAATTCTATCCTTGCAGGAAGTGCACTCATAGTACACTAAAAAAAGAAATACAATACAAAAATATCAATACAGTGAGTACAAGGAATGCGCAAATTTTTACACTCAACTTAGTAAAGGCACTCAGACTGCGTACTATAAAAAATGCAGTACTGTAGTTACTACAGAAGTAAGTAAAATGAAGTAAAACATACAAAATGGAAACACAACACCTGACGCATGTATTATGGTAACTTAAAAAGGGCCATTCATGATATGCCCAGCATTCCACTCCGACATACAAAATCATACAAAATCAAAACACAACATACAAAAACATACAAAATCAAAACACCACACCTAACGCGGGTATTGTGGTAACTTAAAAAAGGTCATTCATTTCATGCCTAGAGTTTCATTCCGATACTGTCGTGGGAAAAAAATGAGTGTTTGTAAATATCTGTCTTAGCAAAATGAGGGGTTAAAGCATGTGTGTGATCGTGACGTGTACGCCTTGTGGAGAGAGGTGTTACATATAATGCGGGGTCGATGGATGATTCACGTTTAATGAGGGATTGTAGGAAATGGAGGCGGAGAGTCTGCCTACGTGTTTCGAGGAGGGGGATGTCATTTTCTGTCATCAGCTGTGTGAGGGAATCGGTGTGCTTGAACTTAGAGTAAATAAAGCGAACAGCTTTTTTCTGGACTTTCTCTATTATTTCAATGTTGTGTTTAGTGTAGGGATCCCATGTAATACAAGCATACTCTAACTTCGGTCTAATGAAAGTAATGTAACTCAGTAGATTAATGTGGGCGGGTGAATTTTTAAGCTTGAGTTTCAGGAACAAAGTTTACGGAAAGCTGAGGAACATATATTACTAATATGCAAATTCCACTGAAAGGTTGTTTGAAAATGTTACCCCCAGATATTTAAAGTTTTCAACTTCTTTTAGCGGTGAGGCGGCCAGTGTGTAGGTGTATTTTAACGGGCTTTTTTTTCCTGATGATACGAAGACAGACAGTTTTTTCTCTTTGTTCAAAGACATGCCTGATCTGTCACACCACGCCTGTATGTTGCGCAAACAAATCTCGAGGTCGGTTTGGTTATGCAGTGTAGTTATTTCTGATAGAAAACGCAATCGTCTGCAAACAATCTGATTTGTGTGCCTGGTGTAACAACGTTGACAATGCCATTTATATAGACCAAAAGCAACAATGGCCCCAGGACGCTACCCTGGGGTACTCCGGATGTCCTGGAAGACAGCTCGAGTCGTTGCCCTCAATAGCGATAAACTGCACGCGATCCGAAAGATAAGCTGCTATCCAGGATAGTATAATGCTAGGAAGATTGTAATATCTGAGTTTTTGTATAAGTGTCGCTTGCATTTAAAATTATCATTTCCTTTAACAGGTGCTACGAGCTAAAATGTACACACATGTACTGTCGGGGGATGGAGCGGCGATGTCATGTTTATCAAAAAGCTGATAATATACTACTGACCCGAATGTGCAGGCTGAATTTCCCGAGGCACCCTTCTGCGTTAAAATTTTGTGCCATGAACATTGCGCCTGCTAATTGCGTTAAGCCGCTATCGTTTTCAACGTTCAGTGTTCTATATCACGTTGTTCCAGACGACACATATTGGCTTCATAACGTGGTAGTCACTCCTTTTAAAAATGTCTCCAGAAGAGGCAGAGGTGTATTATTGAAAAGAATACGGCACAATGACCTCGACTTAGCCCGTTCCTTATCCTCTGGTTACTGCCTTGCACGGTTCTTTTCATCAACCGTGCATGGTATACCTTCAATGATTCTGTTAAAATTGTTCCTGCCATTCAGGCCTAAAGATTCTGACGCTATTTGCCCGTTAGGTAACCTCTGCGTCATCAAACTAGATATATAATCATCATAATCGTATTCTTCCTCATCATAATCATCAGTTCAGGCTTAAAGATGATTTTCTTTACAGCGGAAGGTGTATATAACTCGGAGGAACAAAAATCTGTTCGGCAGCGGTCTCAGGAGCACTTTCCATTGGTTGTGTTATCAGTTACGTCGTTCTCAAGCACGCACGCCATAGGCTGCGTTGTGAGTGACGTCACCACACACGTGGTGCCGAGCCCGCGCGCAACCGTTTTATCCTAAGACCTCCGCGCCGAGTTGGCTCGCGATGTCAGACGGTTTCAACAACGAGGCGTTGCGGCGTCAACATGATGATTCACGGAGCGCACTCGCCGGAGTGAGCGTAGCTTTCGGCGCGAGTTTATCAAGGGGCACATTGGCTTAGGCTGCGACGTCTGTGACCGCCTGTAGTTCGAGAACAACCACTGTGATTACCGCTTTGCGAAACGCATTTTAACCGCTCATTACTATCCTCCGTGACCGTGACCATGCGAGACACAATGTGCGGCATGCGAAATACTGTGGCAAACTTGAGCGAAAGGTGTGTCTAATCTCGTTAAGAAACACTAACAAAACCATTAACTATGAAACACTTGGTAACTAGTACCACGTCGGGTTGAACCCAATGCTAAATACCGGGACCGCACGTTTCAGCTTTCGCTAGTTGACCGTTTGTGCGGAGTACTTTGCAGATGATTTTTTTTTATAATGACAAATGTGCTGTATGCACTCAGTCCCCTCTAAACTGGGAGTACATGCGCAATGCTCGGTGGCTGGGTGTTCAGTCCCACTGAAACAACTTTTGGGGAAAAATAAGTGCCATTATTACGTGTTGGAAGTTCGGCCTGTTTGCTTCCCTTACCTATTGAACTATTGTAACAGAGCCCTTTCTATCTGTCTATCTATCTAGCATCTATCGCTCGCTGTCTATAAATAGATGATTGATTCATTCATTGATTGATTGATTGATTGATTGATTGAATGAATGATTGATTGATTGATTGATTGATTGATTGATTGATTGATTGGTTGATTGATTGATTGATTGATTTTGAGCATCTATCTTTCTCTATCTATCTTTCTGTAGAGAAATATAGATGCTCAAAGTGCCCGCAGTACGCAAAGAAATGCTTCGCATTTGTTTTTGCGCTATAAGAAAATGTCCACCTTCTAAAAAGGGCGCATGTTAAAGAAAAGCGCCTTTTACGTTTCGACATTTCGCGATGAACGCGGAAGTTTCTCGCGTCATCCGCAGAACCAAACAAAACGCGTTCGCAGCCCCATCCCACGCGCCAGGGTTCCATTCGTGCCCAAGTACCGGGCGCGCCCTCGAAAGGTCAAGTCGATATGCGCACTCCCACGGTGCAAGCTTTCAGCGTCCGACAGGGAGCTTCGAGCACCGGCGTTTGCCGCATCCAGAAAAAAACAAAACGTGGCAAGAATTGACATTTTGGTCGTTCGCCCAGCAGTGTATCTCTGACACACTCAAATAAAACTGAATGTACCCACACTGCGTCATAACTACTTCCGTCAGAGGAAGCCGGATAATAATATGTGAATTTAGGCTGTAGTTCGTGCCGGGATGAATGTGTCGTGAAAGGTAACAGAGAACAGATATTTTCACGAGATTGAACACCAAACTTTCATGTGTAATCTGTAATCTTTCTATTAGATAAGCTTTATTATTCTAGAAGTTCATACTATATTATAAAACCACTCAATTCCTGGCCAATCTCTAACAGTGGGTATGCGCCACAGTTAACAGGTGAACAAGAACAAGTACACTGACCGATACTTATACCATGACGAAAAAAATTTCTATTGGTGAAGTTGATAATTACTAATACTGTCTTAAATATAATGGCTTCCGCCGAAACAGGAGGTGCTGCCCTAGAATATTTCCAACCTCGAAGGTCTAGTCGCTCTGGTGCTTTAGTGCTGACACGAATGTCACGCGGTATCAAAGCCCAGCTGTGGCGGTCCCATTTCGATTGAGGCGAAATGCCAGAGCCACGTGTGCTTTGATTGAGGTGCGCGTTAATCAACTGCGGGTGGTCGAAATTGCTGAAGCCCTCCTCAACGGCTTCCTTCATAATCACCGAGGTTTCAGGACGCCCCCCCCCCCCGCCCCTCCTCCTCCACATACCCGCATTTATAACATTACGACCGAGAGTAGCGTGGATCTAGGGAAGCTTTGCAATGGTAGAAATCGGAGTGTTAAAGGTGCTCGAGAAATATTGGTACGCCTGGAACGCAGCACTTCTCGGTTCTTTGGATTCATTGCGCTTAGCACTTTCTCATCGTGAACCAACTATCCCAACAAATGGATTCTTTTTATGTGTTGCTATGCGCCGCTATGGGTATGCACGCGCTGCAATGAGTTTCTGGCCGTTTCTAAGCGATTCTACGGGTCGCAATAAGCGGAGATGCCTTGGTACAGCACTGCGCTGCAATGTGTCTTCGCACTCTCAGCTGTATTAAAAGAATATCTAAAGAACTTAGTTCTAGGTGACCCGTTCCTCAAATAGTACATGGTAAAAAGTCTTCCCCAACTTCAATTTGCCTCTGCGATCTGGAAACAACTTACAATTTCAAGAATGACACTAATGAGCGAGTACACAAAAACTATCTATTTATCTATTTATCTATATGTCTATTTATCTTTCTATCTATGTTTCTATCTATCTATACGTCTGTCTGTATGTCTATCTATCTATCTACCTATCTATCTATCTATCTATCTATCTATCTATATTGCTGTTTGAATACCGTTATTCAATACTTCTTTCTGTAGAAAGAAATATCAATCAGTAATTTAGTCGTCTGAATTACACCCAACACGCTCGAATCACGTACCTACTTCTGGATGAGTTTGTCTAGTTATTTAACTCTCACGCTTCGGCTGCGCCGTTACTTCTTTTCCTGAGT